AACTCCACGAAATAACAGTGATGAATACTCCCCTGCTAGCCCAAGGTGCAGCCTTGTATGCCTTGAGTTTGGCGGATGCTGACTTTCTGACACCCTTGTCTTCCAGCCTAGTATGGCAACTGGAATCAGCCCTTTGACATAATTTACAGCGATGCAATGATATTCACAGCACAGTTCAGGTGCAGCCAACATTTCAGTATACTGCTACAAATACACATCAGCCCTATATAGGAATTACATAAAATTAATCTTAACTGTAGAGGAGTGACAGATTATTTCTGAGTCCTGTTACCACACTCTACCATCAGGTTAAAGCACTGCAGATAAAGGGAAGGGGTGAGAATGTAAGAAAATGTTAAGTACCATGATGAGCAAAAATAATAAGCAATTCTACTCCCTAACTTTACACTCACACTAAACAGGACATTTTACAACATTAAATAATTGTGTTTTGTGCTTAAATAAATACGTTATTAAAGGTTTCTTTTGATGATCCCACTTTTCATAAAGAATTAAGCATAGGTGGTATTGCTTACACAACCAATCAATAAAATGGTGCTATCATTTTTTAATGTTATTACAGGTACACACCTCATTATCAGAGTTTAATTTACACTTCAGTGTTTTTTCTCCATTAGCTGTTGTTCATTGCAAAAGGAAGGTATTGTTTAGGTTCATAGCTTGTTCACTGTGAAGTTAAAGACTAGAAAGATCTACATCTGGCTTCTGTGCTTTAAGCCTAAACTTGTTCTCCCTAATTTGTGGGTTGCAGAGGAGAAAGCTAGTTGCGTAAAACAGCATACTGAGCATTTGTACAGAGGGCTCCAGTTGCCAGATGCTGTATTTTAGCATCAACGTGCCATTTTATATGTGTTAATCTGAGCTTTCTGTCTGGCACAGAATTGAATGGATTCGTTACTTACCATTTCAACCTATCAAAAAACAATCCTATTTACTGAATTGTGTCTCTCTTTGTTATTACAGTGTGTCAGGGGAGTATTGTGTGCTTCTAGTATGCTCTGATCATAGCAAGTGGATGTCGTTTGTACTAGACTGTACTGGCTTCCTGACAGGCAGAAGTGTTCAGCTAAAGCTATGATGAGTAGTGTGAATGCAGAAGCCCTAACCAGAACCCCTCACTGAGGCACTCACAGGATTTAAAAGGGGAACTCCAACGCTATTTTTATATTTCGGGGTTTGAAAGAATCAGCATTGATGAATGCATTTCCAATCACAATGAAAGCAAGTGTACACAGAATGTGGAAGACCTCCAATTTCCATCACAAAATAGACTACATTTCTATGCACGGCGCCATATTCTGCGATTCAGAGCGAGGCAACAAAACTTCCAGCGAGGTGAAGCACACCTAAAACATTGTAAACAAGCAGGCTTGTGAATCGACTCTGTTAACTCTGCGTGCAGATCATGTTGGAACTCTAATGTCTGCTGTACAACCTGTACTTATTTGCTCATACATCGTGTTACATTAGTCATCACAGTGACTAGGGAGCAGGAAGGGCCACATCACATCGCAATTCATGGGAACTCTCTCTCTAGTCCATCATTTTTTGCACACTCTAGCCTGTGAGATGTTGTACCTAATTCTGAATTTTTAAACATTTTGCAATACCATCAATTAATTTATTCTGTTACCGATATTTAATAACTAGTCTGAGGAACTGGGACTGCAGTTCTCCTTTAAAGGGATCTCTGAGTCAGCCTCTCTTCTGTCATGAAACAGATTCCTACGAACACCTCTCACCGCCAACACCCGCACACTAATTAATCAATTGTCACTCCTCACACTCTTCCCTATTAATACCCTCTCACTCCACTTAGTCCCCGCTCACTAGTGAGAATAACCCTGGGCTTTCTCTCGTGCGCGCTACTACTCTTGACCTGATTCCCAGCTACCTGACCTTCTTTCCTCCTGCTTCGACTTCCCCTCGCTTCTCGTCTCGAAGTTGGATTCACTCGACCTGATTCTTTTGGCTACCCGACCTTTTGTTCTTTTGTTTCAACCCCAACTTTTGCCTTTTGCTTTCGGGATTTGGATGCCCAAAAGCATCCAAGCATCCGATCACCTTCAGGCTCAGCGCCGCATAGGGTCCAACCTGGGGCTCCTAACGTCCTCTCTGACATTGACTGCTTCTGCCTGACTGCCTAAAGACTCCTGTAAGAGTAGCTGCATCACGATATGTGCTGCTGCATCTACAGTATATATTATTAGTTAGGCTAAGGAACAAGTAATAGGTTTATTCCATGCTGAAAAGAGAAGAAAGAAAACACAACATTTCGGCCATGGAGCCTTCTTTGGGTGTGAGAGGACCCACCCCAAAAGAACTATTATTAGTTATTTTGGGGTGGGTCCCTATTTTTTTTAAAGCAATCACGCTTTATATTTGATTTGCCAGATCATTTTGAAAAGATATTTCTTGAGTAACGCCTTTCCCCCTGAGCCTTTAAAATATTATGTGCTGATAAATCTTATTTTTGTTTGCATAGGTCGTTATATCCCAAAATGAAGGAAACCCACTTCATCCAGCTCCAGACTGAGTAATGTACGACACCCACTATGCACAGGAGATCAGGCAGTGTAGTGAGAAATTACTTCACGAATTGAATCAGGGGACAGATTTCCGTGGACGAGATTAGGAGCGAGCCCTTTAATGGCCAAGTTGTCAGGACATCTGCAGGACAGCACCTCGGACAGCAGGGGCCCCTGTCACCACAGATGTGGACTGGGCTTTGGAAATCTGGGTCCTGAAGGCAAAGTGAAACCCTTTTGGTCCTCCAACATTATTTACCATTTCCCAGACCCAGCCACACAAGGAAAGTACAAATGAGAGGAGGTCTTGTAGGTCATCTAGGCTAGTTGGTAGTTACTAGTTATTTGAGCGAAGGATCTCACATTTCTTGAAAGAAACCAGGGTATCGGCTTCAACAACATGGCTTTGTACTGTAGCTTGTTCCAGACTCCCACATGCCTGTTAGAACATGAGAAAGGAAATTCACTAGGAATGACAATGCCCAAGATCAAAGCGTCATGAAAGGATTATGCAGCAAACTTGTGGCTTAACCCTCTTGGCTGAGGGCTGGCCTTCCGGCCAGAGGACAAGGAGACCAGGACCGCCCTGCAGGGTGACCGAGGGGCAGCTCCAGAGGGGGAGCTGGGGTGTAGGTGGGATGCAAGAGAGAGATAGGGATCGTAGGTATTTATAGCGTTTTAGTGGAGGAATGGATGTCAGGAGCAATGGCTAATTACTGACAGCTGAGTCCGATTGAGCTTGGTTGTTGTCAGCCCTCCCAAACTTTCGGTAGAAACTCTTTACTTCTTAGAACATGAGAAAGGAAAAAGTGGGAAATTTGCTTTCATTATGCTTACACTGGCCGCATGTTGACGTACTGTGGAAAAATTAAACGAAGGCAATTTAAATGGTACAATGCTGGCTATTGTGGAAGACCGAGACAAAAGGTCAAGACGGTGACTATGCGCGGGAAAGGTTTTCTGTTCACACCTAAGACCAATGTCTTAGTTGCAAACTAAAGCCTGTGATTCCTCACACCCATTCAACCAGAGAGAATTGAAACAGACTGCAGGATGCCAAATGGCATCTTCCTGTCCTGTTCGTATGACTTCTGACACTGCCCCTTTCCCTGTATGTTTCTTTGACATGTTAAAGTCTTGCCTACTTTTAATGTATAAAAAGGAAAGTGTAACTTCAGTCCAGCGAGCATGTCTTGAGTGCTAGGGGAAACCCTTTCTCTGTGATATGCTCCCCTTCAGCTGATTGAATTAAAGATCTCTGTTGACAATCTCCTGACCTGAGTCAAGACTGAATTCTCTTTGACACTATGAAATCAAGTTACAAGACAAAGAATCAGGCGACAAACTAGTTGTTCTGTGTGTGCCTTAAAAAAAGTGGAGGGTGTGCAATCTGAGGAAATTCTGTCCTGAAGCAAACAATTAGCAAAAAGTTATACTTCTTTCACAAGATAGAACCTGTTTAAAGCCTGGTCTTCTTCTTAGTGAAAAATACATGAATTTGGGAAAACCTTGCATAAACATTTTTTAATTGTTGTTAATTTGTGGGTTCACGTGCATTGAACCCCATTGTTCTGATATGTTCCCCTGTGCAACAAATTTGTGCAACTCTGTTTAAGCATTAGAGATTCTGCTCTTACCTACTGTAATATTTGCTTCAGCACAAGTTAACATTGTTTTATACAATTTTCTTTGACTCTTGATCACAGAGAGGGAATGTTTCAGCTGTAACTCTTCCAAGGTTGAAATTGAAGTTGTGTCTTCACCTTTCATAATTACTCTGTTAGCATATGGACCATAAGAACAAAGTGTGCATAAAGTTTATACAGTACAGTATGTATAAATTCTATCCAAATGTCCTGTTTGATTTGGCAAGGGCTAAATGTGATTTGATGTCCTAACCAAATTATGTTTAAATTTCTGAATACAGGAGAGGAAAAAACAGATTTCCACAGTTTAAAAATGCAACGATTAGCCATCTCATGCTGATCCCTCTGAAATCTGCTCATTTTTTTATTTTCAGCTCTTGGGATTCCCCAACAATCTGTAATCTAAAACTATAGTGACAGTTATAAGCCTACCCCACAGTTTCTAACCCTTAAATATCTTATCAGGTCATTTAGTTTTGCCTGAACTGCAGCTGAAACACTGGTCTATCAGGATCCATGCCAATGCATAAAGTATACATTCCAGTAATTGTATTGTGAGTGAAAATGAATTAGAAAAATAATTCTAATGAACACGGAGAAGTGTGTATGATATTGTATAGAAGCTCTATCAGCAACGCCCTTTGAAATTTGCACAGTTCAGAATACTATGAATGTCTGAATATCCAGATTAGAATGTGCACGTTTTCCATTTTGAGTTACAGCTTGCAACATCAATTAGGTCTGATTCTTGACCCAAACACTGTGCACAACACAATGCGTGGAATGAAAGTTAAGTGTATCATTGTAACGCTTGCACAGGAGCACAAGAGTCTCAACATGAAGAGCATTACGAGTACAGTACTACTTGCAAACTCGTTATGGAATTGCTTAGTGCCAGTGGATGAACCATAATGTAAGTCACCTTAACCTGCGCGACTGAAAAAAAAAAATGCGTATGAGAAACAGTCCGGGAGATACGCGTATTTGAGACTGAAAAGAAAATCCCTGCCAGCTGACGTTGAAGGATTTATCGGTTTAGACGAAATTGCTTTCCCACTGTGGAGATTAAATACCGTGGGGTAGTTTTTCTGGGGGGCGTATAACTGCACATTGTTACAACGCTGAAGCAAGCGATAATGTGACTGGGAGGAGAAGATTTGTTTTTTTAACGTCGACTGCTGGGGAACTGAACTTTCGGATTTCCGTGCCTGGGTCCGACTCTGGGCTGTGTGCGCCATGCAGGTTGATATTTTGCTGTTGCTTTGCCTCTGGATGCTGGGGGCTGCTGGGAGATTTGCTCGGCAAAGCAGCCAGGCATTTGAAATATACAAGAAAAGCAGGTAAGGAAGAAGCCTTTTAAGAAAACCAAGAGGGTGTGGGATACCTTTCGAGGGAATGCCTTTGCCTTTTTCTGGGGGGGGGGAGTTCTGGATAAGACTAGATCAGATCTGATTTAGAGGAGGGGGGGAATCACAAATTGATGTTAAGGACCTGTAAAGTGAGTCATTTTTGGAAATACTGAAAGTATTTCACGGTTTGTGATCCTTACGTTATTCATGTAAAAAAAAAAACTTACACCGTGTCATTTTGGGGGAGATTGTAAACGGCTCATGCAGTTGCCAGTCTGGTACCATGCAAAGTAATATACACGTCCCTCTCAGTAAAGACAGTACAGGAATGGCTATTTTGTTCAAAAGCTCTTCTGATGTTCTTTCGGTTGCACCTCAAAGCCATTTGTTAGAGGAAATGTCAACCTGTTGAGATTTTCACATCTCGTTGCTATTGTTGACAATAAATCACCACATTTCTAATGAATCTGGGTCCAAATTATTTTACTGCCTGAAATGGAAAAATAGACAACGTCTGTGAGTGCAGACTTGGAATTAGTCTTTTCTCCTGAAAGACGTTAATCGTTATTATTGTTACAGCGCTGTCCTGCGTTTTTAATTTATTGCAGTTTTCTGCAATCATCCAGATGGCGGCAATCTGGCAGCTTGGTCAAGGTTATCTCAAGGGAAGGATAGGCTAGCACGGCCCGCCTTTCTTTTTACATTGGGAAACCAGAAGTGTGTTTGATTAAAACCGATTATCCATATGTAGAAGAAAACCTGCTAGTAATCATGGAGTGTTGATTTCAAATGTTGCTGTTTTTTTCTTTTTGAATAGTAAAATGGGATGAGAATATTTAAAAATACTGCATATATATTTATGGCTGTGCCACAATAGAACGCTTATATATTACATATATAATATAATAAGTATTACATCGTGCACAATAGATAAAAAGTGAGTTAATTAATATGTGTATTATTATATTAAAGTCGTTCAAGACTATGTTTAAAGACTGCTTTCCCTGTTTTAAGAGTAGAGTCATTACCTCCCTTTTTTAATAATCGGTTGTGGTGATTAAGTGGGGCAATCTGAAATTATCTCGGTTATCTTTGTGAAATGGATATGTATGGATAGATACGTCTGATATGTAATGTTATATTTATTTGTAATGTAAAGTTTACTGGTACTGTCTGTATGTTTTGGGCGTTTCTGTGTGGGTAAAATATAGCTGCTTCGAACAAAGACAGGTTTCTGGAAAAAAAAACAGACTATCAAAGTGTGGTGCAATAAAAAAATTAAGTTTATACTGCCCATTTTCTAGCCTTAAACAATCATATTCACCTAGTATTGTAGTGTTTAATAGCTTTCCTTACATGTGAGGATCCAGAAATGATTTGATGTTGTTCAATCAATTTGTATTCTGGCAACTTTTGAACAGTTTTAAATTGTGAGGTGTCCGCCATTTAGAAGGCAGACACCCTTGTTTGTCTTGGAACTCCAGTGTACAAAACACAGGCAGTACATACTGAATAACTAACGCTGACTTGAACAGTGACTTTTTACCATTTGCCCAGTATGTCCAAGCCAGTGCCATGCAATTCTTGTATCCACTGCTGTCCTTGACAGTATTTGAGAAAAAAATCCATGGATTTACAGCGTGCTCTTTAATCATTGTGAAGTGCTGAGTGGTATTTACCTACTCCCTGTCACAGCAGTGACATAAATTATGTAATGTTATATTTACACATCCAACCCATGGAACTCCATCACTTCTGAAATATGAGCTTTATTTGTATTAGCTAATGCCAGAATCAAAGTCTGTTACTCTTGTTCTTGAACTTTCTATTATAAAATACTTCTTATAAAATACTTGAAAAAAAATTCTAAACAAACGTGGTCAACAACTCAGTATTGTAGACCTTTCTTTAAATCTGTATCTACAGTATATGACCCAACTTGTAGCAGCCTACTATTGTCAAGGCAAATACCTATACTGTTGAACGGTTTTTGGCAGCTGTTTGGCAATTAAATGCAGGGAAGAAGGCTTTATTATACTAATGCAATTCCTAAGAGGTGTGATCTAAAAGCAGCTACTGGATTATAGTATGTAGTGCTAATGTGATTTCCAGGGTGTTAGCTCTGTGAATTATTAATTATTTAGGTTAATTATTAACGAGAGGCCAGAAATTAGGTGGTAGTTTGTTATTGCTCCAAATGTCAAACTGATTGGAAAATATGAAGAACACAGGCAAGGTCAGAAATGACAGTAGTCCATTCATCTTATGTAGTTTGGTTAGTAGCTAACTGATCCAAGGAACTTGCCCAGCCATTCCTAAGGGACCAGGTGTCAGTATGAGGCTAGGAATGTACTAGAGCTAGTTGCTTTTCTCTTGACTGTACATTTTAAACAAGTCTTATGCAATATATAGTTTTTAATGTACCATTCTTTGATTTCAATTCTGTATTGTTGACTGTACTGTATATACATTGTGTTTGCATTTGTATGGCCTCCTCACACTGTCTTGAAGATGTAAATGATATGTCAATTCAAATACAAATGAGAAAACCGATTACAAATAAAAGAGTATTCCGGTCTTCCTAAGATAAAAGCTTTGTTATCTAATTAAAATATTTAAAAAAAACTGTAAGGATACTGCAGTAAATGAGCAGAAATGTGAATAATCATCAGGTAAAGATTTATTCTGATCTATCAATCCAGAGTTACTGTAGAGATAACTGTTGGAGGTAGACACTAGTTTTAGGGTTTAGGTTTTGAAAACTATAGTTAAACATTTTTGCTTTCTTTTTGAAAATAGCATTTATGATTAAGGTTTGAGCAGCAGAAGAGCTCTTACTGGGTCCTAGTTTACAATACAGCAACTTAAAAATGTTCCCATGAAGATTTAGTTGTTAAATTTTAATTTGCCCATTATAGAAAAAATATTTATTTTTTAGATTAATTTCAATTAAGACATTGTTAAATCAATGATGATGCATCACCTCGGCAACTGCACCGATTTTCTGGAACACAGTATCCTTGATTTACAGGTAGAATGAGATACAAGACTCTTTTTAGGGTGTATTATAAATGTGCCTGGTTTTGTTGCTGAACCCGATCGCAAAAAATGTTTTTTTCACCTATCATTCTCTTAGCATGGCAGCTGAACAGTGTATTTTACGTAATGAAAGGGGGTGGAATTTAATGGGCAGGCATTGGAATAAGGATTAGTTATTTACACGATTTAGTCCTACAGCCCTCCAGCAGGGACATAAAACAATTCTGTCAGGTTTCAATCTCCTTTTTTATCTGAATCATCCTTTTTGCCAGTAATCTCATTTAACCTATAGTTTTGTCCAGTATTTAATAGCATAGCAGGATACCAGCTCTGTAGCGTTGCTATGGGGAAAGGAAGGTACAGCTCAGCACACAAAGTTTGCTGAAGGCTGTCTTCTATATCTCACCTACCAGACCTGACCACTCCATTTTGTAAATGCTAAAACATATGGTGCCAAGAAAAAGCTTGTGGAGCCCCTATGTCGGTCTGTGTTCTCATAGATTAATGACCAGATCGTTTGATCTTCATGAAAGCTTTAAGAAAAGATTAAGATGATTAATAACAGTAAATATCCTCAGTAACTGATTGCACCTCCTTGAGCAGAAGTTACTTCAGGTAGACATTTCGTTTTGATTAATCTCTCGCAAAAACATGGATGAATTCTGGCCCATTGGTCTTTACAGAAGTGCTTCATGTCAGGGACATTTGAGGGCCTTCCATCACCAGCTCCTTTCAGTTTCTGCTGTCACATCCCAATAGGGTTTATGTCTTTTGGCCAATTCAAAATGCATAATAAGATGAGATCAGATCACTTTATTGGCCATCTACAATTTCTTGCATTAGAAATTTGTCTTTTCACATACCCCAGCTTGCTCTCCATGGGACATAGACGGGGAGAGAGAAGCTTGGGGTCAGCGCGCAGGGTCAGCCATTTCTACGGCTCCCCTGGAGCAGTTGGGGTTAAGGGCCTTGCTCAGGGGCCCAGCAGAGTAGGATTCCTCTGCCAGCCGCTCAGTTTGAACCGGCAACCTTCCAGCCACAGGCGCAGATCCTGAGCCACAGAGCCAACGCTCCGCCCATATCTTCTTCCTCATTCAAACTGTAATAGAGTAGATCTGCCTGCGTGCTGAGGGTCGTTGTATTTTAGGAGGAGTGAGGGCGACTGAAGATTGTGTGAAGAGTTTATTGAGTCTGTGGAAACTTGGCTGAGGGGCAATCTCTCGGCCATAGGACAGCAAGGCTTGGATGCCCGTGAAGAGTGAGGAGTGACCAAGGGGCAGCTGCAAAAGTGGAACTGGGGTGGAGGAGGGATGCAAAACGAGCGAGGAAGAGGAGAGGGTGACGTGGTACGGTATATATGGGAATCTGAGGAATTACGTCAGGATTGGTTGTGGGTTGCGGCAGCTGAGCTGAATTAGGCTGGCTGCCCTCACCCTTCACAGACTTTTGTTTGAACTCCAATTTAATTCATGAAAATATTAGGACAAGGACATCTAAAGTGGAATATTGTCGAATCGTTATCCATTCATCCATTTTCTGACCGCTTCATCCAGTTCAGGGCCGCAGGGGAGCTGGATCCTATCCCAGCATGCAGTGGGCACAAGGCAGGGTACACCCTGGTCAGGACACCAGTCCGTTGCAGGACAAACAGAAAAAACTCACACCGGGGCCAGTTTTCCCAGCAGTCCAATAACCTATCAGTATGTTTTTGGAGGAAACCCATGTGAATATGGGGAGGAGATACAAACTCCACGCAGATGGTGGATTCTAGGTCTGGAATTGAACCCGGGGCCCCAGCGCTGTGAGGGGGCAATGCCAACCACTGGGCACTGTCTGCTGTGCTATCCTCTGTGACAGTGCAGTGGGGGAGGCACCGCGGCAGGCACCGGTAAAAAGTCAACGCCCCGGGTGAGGGGACAGAAGCACTGGCAGGGACCAAAAATAACACAAAA